GTGAAAAATTCAGTGACAAACTTCTCTACCCGTCATTCTTCCGCACCGTTCCCAGTGACAAATGGCAAGTGAAGGTCATAGCGCTTCTGCTGAAAGAGTTTGGGTGGAACTGGGTGGCGGTGGTGGGCAGCGACGAGGAGTATGGACAACGAGGTGTGCAAGAATTCTCCGAAATAACAGAGAATATGTCGGTCTGCGTGGCCTATCAGGGGCTGATTCCAGTGTACACTGACTCTGGGCCAGCAATCACTACCATCATCGACAACATAGAGGCAACCAAGGTCGGAGTGGTCGTGGTGTTTGCTCTCGCAGAGCCAACTGCTATCTTTTTCAAAGAGGTTGGTGAATCACTTTAGCCAAGTATTGCATGTTAGTGGTAGATCGTTTATATGTATTTCAGTACCATTGATCCATTCCAATTTACCCCAGGTCATCAGGAGAAATGTACGGGCTGTATGGATTGCAAGTACAAGTTGGTCCATCAAAAATCAACTGATTTCCCTGCCCAATATCCAATCCATCGGCACTGTCATTGGTTTACAATACCAGACACAGACTCTGTATGAGCTCACTGCTTACACACAGGTGCTCTTAACCAAACTGAGTGATGAGAGGGCAAATATGTCACCTGCAGCACCAAAGTCCGAAGCCAATTCTAGAAATCCCTGCCCACAATGTTGGAACTTGTCACCTGCTAACATTAGCTTGGTGACAGACACTTCAGTGAAGGGCACAGCTTTCAGTGTGTATGCTGCCATCTACTTTGTGGCTGAGGCACTGCACAGCCTGCTGGGATGCAATTCAACTGGCTGCTTGAAGGAAACCAAAATCTATCCCTGGAAGGTGATCTCTTTTGTTGTTAATTGTTTGGTTTGGAATGTATTTGTTTTAAAGGTATTAACATTATTGATTAATAATTAATTGACAATCTTTCTTTTGCAGCTGTTGGAGGTTTTAAGGAATACATCTATAGACATAAATGGCACACATTTACAGTTTGACAGTAAAGGCAACCCAAACGTAGGGTACGATATTATTGAGTGGGTCTGGAATGCTTCGACTTTAGACTTCGTAGTCGTTGGAAGCTTTAAAGAAAAACTGTCCATCAACAAAACCCTCTTTAAATGGCACACTGCAAACTCTGAGGTAATTTATGCCATTAAAAAAACAGATACAGTTTGGTACATGCACATATTAAAGTATTGGTGGTTAAATCCCACATTACATTATTCTGGTTTTGGTTTCTGTAATTGTTACTACAACAATTCTAACTATAATGCAACAACTTTTGCAGATTCCTCAATCCACCTGCTCAGCAGAATGTGAGCAAGGCCAGGTCCGCAGAGTCAAAGGCTTCCACTCCTGCTGTTTTGATTGTATTGACTGCTTGGAAGGCACTTACCGGGCAAATAAGGGTAATGTGTTACCTTTTAAATACCTGCTCCTTATATAAAGGAATTTAGAATGTTTTGGGGGGATTTGCTTGTTCACTTTGGCGAGAGCTAAATGAGAAAATGTTATATTGCTCTCATGTCTGTCTGTATAGGGCTGTACGCGTTTGGTCGACTAAATGCATCATCTTTGATCAACCTTTTTCACTATTATATAACATTTTAAAGACCAAATGATTACTGGATTAATCATGAAAATAATCATTAGTTGCAGCCCTAGTGTGTACAGTAAATATATTGCTTTAAGGATGATGCAATCAAACCATGAATTAGATTCCAGTTATAATTTTCTTATTTGATTTAGATGGTATTCTTATTAATCACACCAAATGTCTTGTTGTGCCTTCTGACTTATAGAGGACACCCACTGCACTAAGTGCCCTGATCGCCAATGGTCTTTAAACAAGAGCACTTCCTGCATTGATCCCAGTTTTGAATTTTTGTCCTGGAATACACCTGAGGCTCTGCAGTTGACGCTGGCTGGGGTGCTGCTCCTCATTTGTCAGGTGTCAGTTGGCGTGGTTTTCCTGAAACACCGGGGATCCTTTATAGTAGCTGCCTCAGGGGGAACCCTGAGTTTTGTAGCTCTGATAAGCCTGATGGGAGCTTGCCTCAGTCTGGTGCTCTTCCTGGGGCAGCCGGGGGACATGGTGTGTCGTCTTCAGCTGCCCCTCACCTCCATTTTCAATACAGTGGCCATCTCCATTATCACTTTTATCTCACTACAGGTGGGTAATGACATGTTAAGTAGATTACTTTCCTGTAGAACAAATAAATAGCACACGTGTAATGATGCTGCAAACCCTTCTTTTTGAACAGATACTCTACGTGACAGAGTTCCCAAAGATGGCCGCCTCTCGCCTGCATATACTAAGAGGCCCTGGAATCTGGCTGTTTGTGCTTGTTTGCTTTGCTGTGCAGGGGGCTCTCTGTGGCTGGTTTTTGGTGGAAGGGAGCACACTGTCTGATTATGTGGCAAACCTGAAAATAGACTTTGTGAGATCGTTTCTGACATGTCCAATGTCCCCCTTGATTGGATTTGCCCTAATACAGGGTTTCAACGGTGCAATGGCTCTTATATCATTCATGTCTACCTTCATGGCAGCAAAGCCTGTTCATCAGTACAACCTTGCCAGGGACATCACCTTTGCCTCCCTAATCTACTGTGTGATTTGGGTGACCTTTATTCCAATCTACATAGGCTTGAGTCACAAGGACAGATCTATCGTCCATGTTTCTTTCAACCTGGCAAGCAACTTCGGGTTAGTGGCAGGTTACTACTTTCCAAAATGCTACTTGCTGTTAAGAAAACCTGAGCTCAATACAGCAGAGCACTTCTGTACCTTCCTTGAGGGCGCCCCGCTAACTCAAGCTCAGGAGGAACCACAGCCGCAGCAAGAGCCAGGGAAATAAACTGAAGTTGTAATTACAAAATCTCAAAGACAATACATGTAACACATATACTCAAATGTACACTTATCTGCTTTATATGTTAAAGAAGGAGTGAGTAACATATAATAGGGTGATTTGGGCTTAAATATAGGCTATGAAGCATGATGTACACTAGGCTATAATAATAACGTGATATGAATATTTACCCAAGAAACACATAACAAGGATATATTGTTCAAATATAAAGTTTAGAAATAGTTAATTTTTCAACTGAAGTGTGCATTTTGTATTCCTCCAATATACGATTATAAATGTGTTTACAAACCTTTAAGCAAAATACTGTATAATAACAAAGGTTGCCAGTAGTTTTTATTGATAAGTCTAACAAAGTATCAATTATAAAGATGTTTCCTACTTGTCCAGTGTAGTAGTACAATGCAACAGGAAACAATGGCATTTTGTGTAACAATGTTGATATAAAATATAAAGGAAGCAATAAAAATGTGTTTAAAAAAAAGGTGTGTCTTATTTTTCCAAGATTTCCAAGAAAGAAATGCAGAATTTTTCCATTAATATTCATAAAAATGGAAGGTGTATTATTGTCCTACTGATTGACTGTAGTTATAAACTACTGCGTTGATTTGGTGTTACTGGGTCACATGACAAGGAAGCTATTGAAAAAAAACAAAAATCATTATTCAATAAAATATTTTTGATAAATCCACTCATGACACATTAGTCAGCCTCAGATTCATCATAATGTCATAGTAGTAGGCCATTTTCAATAATATGGCACAGAGGTATTGAGCAATAGTTTTGTGTCACTCAAACGGTAATTTATTGTTGGTCTCTAAGTAAAACCAATGTGGTTAAGATGGTCATTTCACTTTCCAAACTACTGCATTTTAAGAGGTGTTGAGAAGAGACTTGCTCTCCTGCACTCAACCTGGCTGTAACCTCAGGGACTGCTGCTCCTAGGGCACCTAGCAACAGTTGCTAACAACTCAGGCTGCTGTGAGCCTGTTTTGTGTCCTGGGACGTGACACTCTTACTTTAACTGGTAAGATTCCATTTAATTTTTCCATAACAGCAGAACGTTTTTGTATGCTTTTCATATATCAGTTCACTTTAAGCTAGCTAAATACATAAAGTCTTGCAGCTTTTTTGTTGTTTAGTTTAGCTATCGGATCCCTATGTTCAAAGGGTCCTATATGCTAATATTGTAAATAATTAGCAAGGGCTATTTTCAAAGCAAGAAGAGCCAAGGGGGATAGATGTTTGAAATGCAGTTTCAATGGTTCTGTTGAGCCACTGTGGGAGACAACACATGTCAACAGTCAAGACATCTGCATTGCAAAATTGGCATTTGAGGTTATTTGATTTCAACAAATGAATCCAGGGAAACATAGATTGAACATTTGATTTAATTACACACATTGTGGAGGAATAGACCATTTGTTTCCTTGTGATATGAACTGGATGAGCTCAGAAACATCAAAGCCATAAATATGTATTGTTCAATGTTATTGTTTGATGATGCAATACAATCAAAATATGCATCAACCAAATACCAAAACAACATATTTCAAATGTATGTTACATGTAGATAATAAAGACAAAAATACAAATAAATAATTGTAGCAATTTCTCAAATAAAATACCTACTTAAAGCCAATGTGACAGACAAACTTGATTAGATTTTTACCTACTATTTTAAGACTTACTCTAGAGATTTATTATTACATTACATTACATGTCACTTGTTAGACGCTTTTATCCAAAGCGACTTACATACATTCAGTATTGTGGGCAATCCCCACAGCAATTTGGGGTGAAGTGTCTTGCCCAAGGACACAACGACATGCTGACTGCAGTGGGACTTGAACTTGCTATCCCCTGATTCAAGGTTCAGCACACTAAGTTCAGTGCATTATCCCACTGAGCCACAGCCTCCCCATTATGCAAACAATATCAATCAAATGCTGCTTCCAGGCAATCCAGAAAACATTTCAAACGTATTTATTTAAACTCATATTGGAGGCGGTATATGAGACTAAGATTGATCAAAGTGAATGATCAGATGACAATGACAGTTCCAGTTTGCTGTAAATAGCCTCAATTCACTTTTTATTTGTATCCAAAAAGCCCAGTGTAACCATGCCTCGAGGAAGATTGGCAACAAGTGCCCGCTCAGATGGCAGTGATGTGGATATTGATGGTACAGGTAATGTTGGTTATATCGCTGTAATTTACTAGTAGATGCTTACTCTCCAAGTAATGTTAGTATGTCAGTATGGTTGACACAGTTGTAACATGCATGATTTCATTTTTCTTTAAAGCAGAATCAGAGATAGCCAAACTGCAGAGACAGTTCAGGATAATGGAAGGAGATCGGCAGGCCTACACCATTCAGGCCCGGGAGCAGATCCGCAAACAACAGTGAATAAGCACTACACCTACATCACATTGTTAACAGTGAATGTCTGGTGTTTTTTATTATATTTGTCTGATTGCTTGTTAATGTGATGTGGATGAAGGCAGGAGATGGAGAACCTGCTGAAGGAGCAGGAGGAGCTGAATCGAAACCTTGGTGCTTGTAAGAGCTTGTCCCGCCAACAGCAGGACAGTGAGGACACCCAGAGTCTTCGTGCTCTGCTGGAGCAGAGAGACATGCTAGAGGAGGAGCTGTTGAAAGAGAAGCAGTGTCAAAAAGAAGTAGAGAAAGAGGTGAATTAGGTGTAAGTCATATGATATTTTACATTTAAAGTTTGCTGTTAGTTTTAGTCAAAGGTCACCTATTATGCAAAATTCACTTTTTCATATATTTTATACATAAACATGTGTCCCCTCTGTGTAAAGAGATTCTGAATTTCGCTCACTTTTTGTCCTGATCCATTTATGTAAAAACCTGTCTGAAAATGAGTACTCCGGTGTGAAAGCGCCTATTGTGTTCTTTTTAACCAAATATCTCACAGAGGGCCGTGGGGAGTGGAACCTTATTTTCATCTAAAGTAACAGACAGAGAATCAGCACTTTTGAAACAGGGCTGAAACAGAGGGGTTTATGGGATGCTACAATGCATGATCTGTTTGGTATTTGGAGCCAAACACTTCAGAGATGTTTTGTATATAACTGAGAGCTATAATATATTGATGAAAAACAGTATAATAGGGGACCTTTAACACACAGTTTATATCGTGCATCTGTAATGTGGGCAGGTTGCAAACATGGAGTTAAAGCTGGCAGAGCTGAGAAAAAGTGATGTCAGTGGTGGTGATACACAAAGGTCTGAGCTACGGCGGACTCAGAAGGCCATACGCACTTTGGAATACAAACTGGACAGAGTGAGTAAAGAAAAATCATTAAATCCAAATACCTAGAAAACAGATAGATTCCTGTGTAGTATAATTTAAAAGTTATGTTGTTTTTACCCATGTTCTACGTCCTGTCCAGTCTTTGACTCGCTTCAATGAGCAGCTGACCAAAAACTGCCACCTGAGAGAGGAGATGCAGACTCTTCATATTGAGCGCATTCGTTTCCAGCAACTACACAACAGGCTGGACAAGGTGAGAGGTCACATAACAGATGATCCATAAACAAGTTTTCTTACAGTTTTTAAACACGTCTCTGCACTGATTCTTGTGTATTGTAGGAACTTTACGATGTCCGCAAGAAGATAGGGGAAACTGTCAACCTGTCCACTGCTGCCTACGATGCAAGGTCAGATTTGAGACAGTTGTTTGCGCATAAATCAGCAAGATATCACGTCATGATCTTGGTGGTTGAATGTCTCATTTGGAATCCTTTCCACTTTAGGGTAGAGGCTCAGTCCAAGATGACCATGATGAGGGAGAAGGCAGTGAAGGACCTGGCCCAGTACAACGCTGAGATGAAGGAGCTGGAGAGGGTCATTGCACATGAGTGCATCCTGAAAGAGTTCATGTCCACCAAGTGCAGTGAGAGGAGCGGGCAGGACGAGGGCCATGAGCTGGGACACAGACAACGTGAGAAACAGACACTGTTTATGACAAAAATTAATAATTATGATAATGGGAAAGTGTAAGTGATAATAAATGCTGGTGGAAGTGATAGAATTATGTTTACTCAGTAGAGAATCTCACCAATTATCATCTTGTGCCTGGTAGTGTTAATGTCTTAGTCCTTGTACTGGCTCTATAGCATTGCTTAATTTCCGTTTATTCTCACAAAAACTGGGTTTGATACCTAATATTTGTCCTCATGTCTATCAGTAACATTGATTATATGTATTGATGGTTATATGATTCTTTTTCGGTGAGAAAATATATAAACAAAACTCCTTTGGAGTACCACAACTGCCCTATAATGCAACATATTATAATTGACACACTAGCAAACAATTATTTAGGATTTTACTGTCGAAGCAATTAGATGGATGCCAGAGTTAGTGTTGTTCTGTATTACAACAGAAAAAGATTATAAAAATGTTTGAAAGAAAACTCTGTAAATGTTCCTGTTGGCTTGGAAACCAACATGTTGTGAAACAGTACACAATGTAATAGAAACAACATGATCCTTTTCACAGCGATTGTGAACTTTCAGCAATTGGCAGTAATGATACGAATGGAAAATATACAAAAAATAATATGATACAAGACTTTGATGAACAGATTTGACACTGTTGATGTAAGTACAGTCATAGTAGTAATAGATGATAATAATGAAAGGTTTACCTAATATTTAGGATTTCAAGCTCCATTCATTACTGTGACAGTAAACTTGATTATGTGTTCTCATCTAACAAAATATTATTTTTTGATCCGTATATTTTTACATTAAAAACATTTGAAGAAATAATCTTCTTTTTTTTCCTTTGACGTCATCATAAAATATGACAACAGATATTCAAAGCTTTTTTTTGGAACCCTTATTAAAAGATTCAGACATATAGAACCGCCTAATAATAATGATTGTATTGTTGACAGTGGTGTTTATACAGCACCCACAAAATTGTGCTAATGCTGATGTTTGTCCCAGTGTCAGAGCTGAAGGAGCAGAGAAGGATGGACTCAGGGGAAGAGTCGCTGGATGCTTTAGATGAAGTGTTCCAGAGAATAGAGACAGTGACGGGGGAGGACAACCTGGACATGCTGGTTACCAGGTTCATCCAGGGTAAGTCTGACCAACACAACCTGAATACTTCACTCTGATGTATACACAAACACAACAGTGGGCCCTGAAACCAATCATTATTACTCAAAAACCTATTGTTTATCTATAGACAATAAAACCATAATGATCATATTTGAATTACATTACATTACAGCTAAATAATCGCTCTGTCTGATAATTCTTCCAAAACAGTCTCAGTTTAGAAGTAAAAGTATCTAATTTTTTAATTGCTGTTTTGCTGTGTAGTTGAAGACCAGAACTTTGCACTCTTTAACTTTGTAAATGAGCAAAACAATGAGGCTGAGGCACTGAGGGACCGGATCAACCAGGTAGGTTTTCTCTATTTACTAATTTCTTAAATATTTACCTTAAAAAGGGACTTAAAAGGCAAGTTTTCTCAGTTATTACAATTAAATGTAGGTAAAGGGGAAATAGTAACCTGTAGTATTCAGTGTGGATACATTGTGTAGGTTTATATCATTACCTATATATTTAAATGTCTGTCTCTTACTGTGTGAATTTGCAGACACAAGAAGAGATAGAGAAGTTTGGAGTAGCAAGTTTGCAACAGGAGCAAGATCATCGCTCTCTGCTGACAGACATTGATGAGCAACAAAAGGAAACAGAGTCTCAAGCTGAGGACTATGAGAACCAAGCCAGCATCATGAGCAAAATCCTGGAGCAGATAAAAACAGGTTTGGCAATCATTTATTTGACAGGTCTGTATGATTCCAGATACTTTCAAAAAATAGGTAGCATGATGTTTTGGTGCAGAATGTCAGCTGGATGCAAAAATGTGTCTGCAGGCAGGCAAACAGTTCAACGTATATGAAAAACCATGTCCAAATTTGTACATGGGTTTTATTTGTGCAGTCATTTTAAGCAAAACATATTTTCCCTAAATTCTGTATCAAGTTATACAATTTTTCCAGGCAGTGTCCCAGGAAATTATGAGTAAATGACAGACTCGTAAAATTCAGATTTTTCTGCATTACACACATAAAAGCATGCATGCTTCAAAATGCGGCATGTTAATCTGGATATTTATCACACAACTGGTTTCTCCCATCTCCCAGGAGTGAACGGCATCTTCTCTGAAATGGAGTGCGATCGCTCAGTGATAGAGGATATGCTGGGCTCCTCTACAGGGATCAGTGAGAACAACATCATGTCTTACCTGGGCCTTGTGGAACAGAAGACTAACGAGCTGCTCACCATACAAGCATACCTCACTTCTAAAGTAACGTGTCAGCCTGGGATGTCTCGCCGTGATACCGGGTTGGTTCTACCTCTTGTTCTACATGTTGTTTTTCTGCCCTGGAGTATAATGTGCCTCTGTATTTGTGTCTCTTAAAGGATCTGGAAAAGGACTATAATCCAAAAGACTTAGCCAAATTTCTTCTGGGTCAAAATCCTGAACTTCTTCAGCAGAGTGTTAGCATAAAACCTGCACTTAACAGGTCAGCCTTTGTGCTCATATTCATTGTGTTTATAATGAGTAATGAATTCAAACACTTTGAACATTCGGCTGATGTTTGTTGGACTCAGTGTGGAGTATGATGCCGAAGAGTCTCCTGTAACTGATGAGGAAGAACGACCACTTTCACAGGGGGAACTACGCAGAACAATTATAAAAGGGGTCAGTGCCAATCCTACACTTAAGTGATTATTTATTCTTTAGATTTAACTTTTTCAAAGGACCTCCTTCATTTTTCTTGATGTAATCCACAGGTCCTACAGAAGGAGAGTTCGGCCCGCCAGGCAGCAACCAAAGCCTCAAAGATAAGTCAGCAGTTTGATGGCAGACGACGCTCGCTGGAAGACCCACTAATCTGACACAGTGACCTGATCAGTGTAGTTAATATTCACATTTTTAAATATTAGATCCTTATAATCATTAAGGCCTGCTTTCATTGTTTATCGTAAAATAGATCAGTGGAGGCAATCACCGCTGATGGAACAAGCCTGATTGGCCATGGTGCAGCTTGCAGATGTAAACATTTAGAGCTTAATTATGTTATATGTCACCTTGTATGATGAATCATTGGCATGGCCTGTTCATGGCCTGTATCTTGTTGGGATTTGTTAAGTTGGTACTAATTAGGTTTGGAGCTATAAAGATGTCTCTTCAGATTCTGGTAACCAGCTGTCCTTTTGATGTGTGACTTGCCATCTGGCTTTGACTATACAATCTGGTCTCAGTAAAGCCCTCCTGCACTAGCAGTGCTTCATTACATGAAACTGCTGCGATGCTCAAATGAAAAGGTTGGGGGCAGCAGAACCTTTTGTAATTCTAATTAGCATGCTGAGACTGTTTCCAAAAGGAGGCGAGGAGCTTCTAGTGCTTCATTGAACAGTGAACACACTTATTTTGAACACATTTTGTTGGGTGGAATAATAATGATTTGTTTCTCTCTCATGTATGTTTGGAGGATTAAAATCCTTTATTCAGATTTTGATGATAAAATCAGTGTCATTTGAATAAACTGAACTTTGTTTTAAAATGAGTCATCTGTTTACATGCATCACAGTTGTATACATCAGTCTTTTTTCATGCTCACTCAGTAAACAACATTTGGTTAAGGCATGCAATATCATTTTCATGGATCGGAAGCATCTGTATCTTTTTGTTCTTAAACAGTCCTGCTTGTAATGGGCAAGGATTAAAAAAATCACTTTGATCCTCAGAAGTTTCAAATGTCATCTTATCTAAACATCCTATAACGAGGCTGTGTTGGGGGGAATATGGCAGTTACTGCTGCAGAGAGCAACTTCCTCTGTACAAAAGAGAACTTCAGAGTGGGGAACTTATTTTAAGAAAGGTATTTTGACTTGCAGTGAAACAATTAACAAAGGGGATTTCTATATTTAGGTTTTAAAGGTCATACTCATGCCATCGTACCTCTTTTAATCCCTTGCTGTAGGGATGATATAGATGTTATGAATAAAGTATTGTGTTTTTATTTACAGAAACAAATATTTTAACAATGGCCAACGGTTCTTTGTCAGTATTGAAACCAAAAGTATACTGTGTTTCATTGGAGTCTTAGAAAAATAAAAAAGAAGAGACAGTGATTAGACAGAAGTATACCTGTATAAACAAGAAAGATATGAGTCATCATTATGTTAACTATCTAGCTTGAGTCGTGTAGTTTTAATTAGCTTATCTGTTAATGGTGTTTTTTCCTGGAGGGGTGAGACGGCAGCAATTTTGGGAAGTAAGACTGCTACTCTGTAAACATTTATGACTGATCGACCGATGACTTGGTTTGCTCTGGATAATCCCCCTTGCAGTCTGAACTGTGTGGCTATGAAAACAGATTATCAGAGATAAAAGGGCGCTGTGGAAAAGCAGAGGGGCGGCGGTGGTGGGAGATGAGATGGAAGAGGCTGCTTCCTTTGAAATACTACTCTCACTTAGCCCCCTCCACTCCCAACAAATTCACTGTGCACACGGCTCTCTGCATTGCCATAGAAACCTTCCTTTTAATCACAACAGAAACCTCATTTCCTACTCCTGACAAAGAGTGCTCATTGCCTGTAGAGACCGCCTTCATCAGCCATTTCCAAGGCCCACCTCCTGCAGGCTGTACCTACCAGCAGCAGCAGCAGCCTCATTTACCCTTCCCTCTCCATATAAGCACATTTTGAACATTTTCACTTCCTTCAGTATTCTCTTCCATTTCTTTTATTGCACCATTGGCTTTGCACTGTAATCCTATGTCATTTAAGTCTTCATTTGTTTGTATACGCTGCAGGCTGTTGACATCTCTGTCTTTAATTCAACTCGTCCTTATTACAAAAAAGTAATAAGCCAAAACGTTTATGGAGACACTTCCACACCCAACTGTACAAACAAAAACATGCATGTACAAGTAGCATTTCTCCACACTAACATGAGAACTGAGATTGTTTGTGGTCTGTTCCTCATCAAACTGTTACACCTTATCAACTGCAACTCCTTGTCCTGTTACTCACAGCAATCTTCCAGTTGCCCTCTCATCAAACTAAAGCTCTAACTTGCTTATTTTTTCTCAAGAAACTTAGCAGTTTATTATTGAAGGTTGTGTCAACTATCATGTCACTATAGGCAAAGTTTCTAGTTGAACACTCTCCACTTCCCCAGTCTGGTTCTGCATTGGGACTAAGTGTGGTAGCACGTATTAAATGCATTGTTCCTTTTATCTCAGACAGGACTGTTATCTGGACGTAGAAAATACCCTGTCCTCTGTTTCCCGCTCTGTCCTTCTCTCTCTCTCTGTTTGTTTATTTGGGACCTCTGCCAGGTATTTCCCCAGCCAGTCTGCCTGCACCCACAAGGCTCCCTCCCCTAGACGCACGCCCCACCCCCCCCTTCCCAACTCTTACACCCTCCCACCCTGCCATAAATGTTGCTTAGCAACATTAGAGCTGGTACATTTTCCAGCCAATCAAATTAATGAACACATTTTCGAACAGAGGTTGACGAAGGAAGAGCACTTTTTTATGTTTTTTCCTTCATTCATTTCTTCTTCAGTTATGGGTTGCAGGCATCTTTCTGCACATACACGCTTTAGTGAGAGAAGTGAGCCTTTGATTATTTTCACTGTCAGTTCATCCCCAGCGTATAGCAGTGCACCACTGGGTGGCAGCAGGATCAGTTTCTCTGTTTCAACACTGGCTGTAAGATTTTTCTTACTGCTGTTGCTAAGCAATCCGGACTCCCATACCTTACCTGTGAAACATTTGTGATTTTTCTAGATGTCCCTGACACCATTTTGTCTTTGTTTTCACCATTTTGAAATAGACTCTATTTGAAAAGAAAACACATTTTTGTTGCACTTCCAAAATATATCATTACAATTCAGATCACTGCAGAGACAAAGACTGTGCAGACAGAATGAATGAAATACCCACTCTGACTACAGCTCATCAAGCAGGAGGCAGGAAATGTGCTCTTGAGTGATTAGGCCGGCGGCTCTTCTCTTCCACTTTACCAGCAGAGGAGAGATCCATTTACTCTCTGTGCTGATATGTTGTGCAGCTTCCTGTTTTCTCAGTGTACAAATCTATTTGATACGCGCCGTCTGCTGTGATGTTTCAGACATAATCCAGCTAATCAAGTCACATTAAGATGTTTCTTTATGTCTGATTAGTTTTTATTTTTGTACACTCTCCAGGTCCCTGTGTCCCTCCCCCTCCTTGATCCCCCTGTGTGTGAGTCCCTCATCTGAGCTTTGGTTGCTGTGCAGATGGCTCTTTGTTGGTGCTTGACAATGGGTCTAAGGTCAGTGTGCTTCATGCCATCAACACACTCAAACTTCTTCACTCCAGCTGTCTGGTCGCTTTATATTTTTGTTTATCTAAAATGATTCTCCAGAAAACAACAGGGCAGCGTATAGGTTCACGGTTATATTGTGGTCTAAAATTAAGAGGAAGTTATAAAACCGCAGATGTCGCATAGAGATAGCCAGGACCTCTCAGGCTGTAAACCGGTTACCAGTGTCATCATGTTTTCACTAATCTGCACTACATCTAGGTCCTTTCTTGTTACATTTTTTATTTCCTAAACAGGCCTTTTGTCAGTTGAAGACAAGCTTTGAAGCATTTCTGAACCAACCACACAACAGAATATCAGATCAGCCAGAGAAATAGAAATGCAAATCTACCATCTGTTCTATGATCCCAAACCAAACCTTGTTCATCATTCAAAAGCTAATGCAATACTAACACATAGCTTAACCCTTAATAGTAATTCACTGGAAAACTAAATACTATGTACATTCAAAATAGAAGACAATAAAACTGTTAGGAAAGCTCTCTCCAAAAGATAAGTGCAAATTACACATATAATAAAACATCTCATTTTAATGAATAATGCAGCTGTCATTCAGAAAACATAGAGATTTAACACTCCAATCTTTACCATCCTCAAATCAAGGATCACATGTATTGGCCAATATACATACAATTATAAACCATGCCAGAAACATGATGTTATGTTTAATCTCTGTTAGAATATGTTTTCTCATAGCAGGCCTTCAAAGTAGAGGGCAGTGAGGTCTTCAAGCCAGTTTACAGCAGGAAGGAGCAGGTAGACTAAAAGGCGGGAAACAAGGAGAAGGAGGAGGAGCAGCAAAAGGAATTACTGGAAATTTCCACTTCTCTGGAAGAGGGGTGGAGCTGTAAGATGTGAAGTAAATAAGGTAGTACTGTTGAACCTAAGGAGCGCAAAGGGAAAACCTGCTACTCTATTTTTCTGGTTCTCGTGAAAAAGAGTGCAAGGCATGCAAGATCTATGCAAATCATTGTAATTTAAGGTGATAAAAACAAGATAAAACAAGATAAAACTTTAAAAATCCCTGATGCCATGATAATTTAGCACCAGCAATAACATGTAGTTCAGTTTAAGGTCATATAACAGTAAAAATAGATGCATATTGTTTTAAAAGGATTTATTTTTCGTGTTTGTATTTTTGAAAGTGAAATGTATTATGAATGTGTGGAATTGGTTTCAATGTATGATGTCATATTTCTCCATTAGGAAGGGCAAAGTGCGTACTGACAGATGATTTGTTATGTATATGAATAACATTAAATATAAACACACACTCTATACATCTGCCTCATTTGATCAAATTTCAACAACCATCATGAACTTAAAGCAAGTCTACAATACATGCTTTGACATTGCAGCCTACGTTTTGCATATACAATTTACAGAACATGTGCACTATCTTGGCTTCTATAATGTGAGTACATGATGCATTTACACTTCATATTTGTCATCCTTTTGTCCATCTGTTCATCCATTTATTCATTTTTTAGAAGCTCTTCTGAGTCAAGGTCGCTGTGGCAACACAGTCAGTATCAACCAGGTGACCTATTCCCAGCAGTTTCTTCCAACACCTCCATCAAACGCTCCGATGCCAGCTGGGAGATGTAGTCCGAATGTTCCGAGTCTGTTCTGGGTCCTATTTTTCATTTTATTCCAAATATAGGTAAGGGACAGTATTTAGGAAGTCACTTTAAAAGTAAGCTGGAAAAAGCTGAACTACAGCAAAGCTAATTTGAAAAAAAGGAGAAACCGTGTTTTATGAAACAAAGCTTAAACACAGCAGTTTAAAATACTTTGGTAAAAAGATTATCAATCTGACAATATACATGTGATACACAATTATAATAAAACATATATCATAGGTACCATAACAGCAAGAAATGCCACTTCATTGAGTTCATTCAAAAAGGGCCCAGGTCACAGGTCATGCATTAAATTAAATACAATAAAATATACCCCTACAAATGTGTTCACTTGTAGGACATTGAGACTGACTTGATCACTAACAAATCCATTGAATAAAAAAGGGTGAGTGATTTGTCAAAGGGGGTATATTACAGAGAAGCTTTCCTGTCAGGGCCAACAATGGATGTAGTGCCAGTGATTTAGCACAGAGAAATTGCAATTTTAACTACTCCAATACATATGCTAAAATGAATGTAATTTGA